ACTTTTTTTAAATAAATAACAATAATACTCAAAGAAATAAGCCGTTGTATCACATGGGATGTTTCTGGACTTGATCGGACTTGAGAGAACTTAACGGGACTTCAGCAGACTTCAATGGACTTGAGTGAACTTTAGCGGACTTTGGCGGACTTGGTGGACTTTAAAAGATCTGAGCGGACTTTAAAGTCTATAAAGTCCGCAGTTTCCCCCTTGGCAGGATATCACAAAAAAGAACAGAAGACTTGTGGCATCCGTTGATACCCTGTGATAATCGAAAAATTAATTCAAGATTACAGTGTACGACATTCCAAGGAAGTTGAATAGTTGTAATTTCTCACCATTGAAAGTAAATCTATTTAAAAAACATTTAATTCTCGATGACATCCTGATTGTGGTGAAAAGGAAAATATCTCACATTACTTAATTGATGCTATACAGCTCTTACCGAAAAATATTACAAAATATTAATTCAACCATAGAGCCTAATTGCCTTATTAGGCTCTATGCATTATTATTGCGAGTTTTCTTACCAAAGGAGCATTTTGTAGCAGTTTACCGTGGAGTTATTCAGTGCATAGCACCTATCCAACGCTTTAAAAACACGGTATCGTGATACAGTGTTAGAAAGCGTAGAAAATCTCATTCAGGGACTTTAGAAATTCTCATTTTCTGACGTAATATCCTCCCCACGAAAAATAAAAGATAAAGAAGAGCCGCCAACAATGTGTTTTTTTTAAAAGAAAACGCATCCCGGAGATGGTTTTCGCGTTCTATAAATGTGAGAGCGCGTGTTTTTTACAAAAGAACGGGTTCTTACAGTCATAGAACGCGTTTCTCTAAGAACGGGTTCTCTCCTAGGCAGGTTAATAGTGCTGCAAACAAAAACTAAATATACAGCGAATAGTCTGTGTACTTTAACACTAATTTGAATGATGTTAAGAACGCATAAGTATCGTTGTTAAAAGGCAATTTAAGCATAAACTGTTGCATTAGCGCCTTTAGGAGAGTGTTGTTCCCATAGTTTTGCTAGTACATTTGCTGTTTTTCTTATGCCACTTACGCTTTCAAGGATAGCTCCAGCTGTATCTAGCATGCTTTGAGAAACACCCCATCTACAACCTGCGAGAATTCCAACAAGGGCTGGTGCATAGTTCTTGTCTGTTTCGTAAACTTTTTGTAATGCACTTTCAAATGAGTGCACATGTACATCATTAAGACAATAGAGTGCAGTATTGAGTGCATTTGGCGCATATGCAGCAGGTTTTGATTTTTCAAAAAGTGGAAAACGTTTATAATTGGTATAAAGTAACCGTATATTATTATCTAAGTTTGGAACAGTGAGGACATTATGAACAGCGTCATTCCATTCTTGACCTTTTATCAGATATCGACAAATTAAATTAACAATACCAGATACTTGACCAGCTATTGGAGAATAATGAGTAAGATGAGCATCTTCCACAGAAAATTGGAATACATTATAGTCATTTATTAAAGGACACAATGCAATAGGAAATGATCGATGAGCGGGATTAATACCAGATGTTAAATGTTTTAATTTTTCATCAACTTTTTGACATGTTTCATTAATTTGTTGAATATCAAATTTGAAGTCTTCTTGCTTTAATTCTCTTTTTTTCGTTTGTATTCTACTAACATGAACATCATAAATTAGTTTTACAATTTCTCCCATATCACATTTGTTGCTGTGATACATCCATAGATAACGTGACAAGACATCTGATGAATCAAATTTATTTAGTTCTAAAAGGCTTTGGGTTAAATGATACGCCATTAGTGTTGGAGCAGAAAGTTGATCAGCTATAGCATGAGCAAGAAAGGTTCCTTCACATCGGTCAAGAAAATTCGTCATTATTATTTATTCTACAATTAAAAATAGAAAAATACTAGATGATAATATATTCCGATGGTCTACATACCTTTCTTTAATCTATTAAATTTCAGAATCAGAGAAAGTTAAAAAAGATATGTTAATACTAGTTAAAAACAAAATTCATCATATAAATCATCTTGTAATAAAGTAAATTTTCTTGAAAACATTCGGAAAAGAACGGAATAGAATCAGACATTATCCACTGTATGGTACTGTAGGAAAGGAAACATAACAACAAGTGAAAAATAAGAAGAAACAATGAGTTTATAGTACAAAGTAGAAAGAAAGAGACTACAGTGCGATTTAAGAATAGTTGATGTTGAAAAAAGAAATACCTATTTAGAGTATGCAGGAATTGTAAGAATCAACAAAGAGTATTATAACTAAACGAAACTCAAAAATCCAACTTTTACTGTCAATGCAAAACCATCTCGAGACCATATAGTATGTAAACTAAGTGAGAATTTTGGGAAACTCCTAGAATGTCTAAAATAAAAGTCGATTTCGAGATATGATGCCACTACAGATTTTAGGACACTTCGTGAAACTATCATAACTTTTGATCAAAATATTGCTCAGAGTTGACAAACATCCCATATTAACCAGAATCTTTGCTCACCAAATGAGTGTATGCTGTAAAATGCCTTTTAATCTGTTTAACTTTTTCAAACTTACTTCCAGGCACTTAAAGAAATCCTGAAGTCGCCTGAACTCAACCCAAAGCTAGCTTAACTTTTTACATCCGCCAGTCCCTTTCAAGGGACTTCGATATAATAGATTTATAAACGGAGCGTCGCATCTACTTTATGATGAAAACAAAGAAGAAATTTGTGTATATTCTTCTCTGCGTAAAGACGCTGTGAATTCAGCGTCCGTTGGAAGGGACATTTGCGTGTAACGATGTGAAAATTGAATTTTTTTATCTTGATATCTTGTTAGCGTAGGTCATTCTGTGATTACTTGCTACACATCTGCAGATGAGTGAATGCAGAAAAAAGATGTAAGCAGCAGTACAGCGCCGGCGTCGACAAATGTGAATGCGTTTTTCTCTGATCCATATAAAAAATCCATCCAAATGCGTTTAAAATACTAAATAAAATGGAGACACGTCTAAATTATTTTAGTTTGTCGAACAGTATTGCATGAGCACGTCTAGACGCATTAAAGACATTTTTCATTCTCACAAGAATCACCTAGATGCAACTATTTTTGAAAAACAATTATATGTACGTGTGAGTACATTCTCTATTTAATCAGATTCTAGAAGCGTGTTTGAATGCGTCTTAGAATCAGGAACTGTCTGCGTGCGTCCTTCATTCAATTGAAAGACACAATGCGCCCGAACACACTTTTCTCTTATCGAGATAAAAAAAAAGCTCGTTTAGAAGCATTGGTTCCTGATTCGAAAAACGCCTTCGGGCAGACGTTTTTGGAAAAATTAAGGAAAACTGCGTCTGCACGCTCGTTTCTATCGAAAATTTCTCCGGTGAGTAAAGATTGGATTAAGACGAATAAAATTTTCAGATTTCCAGCAATTTCTCCCTCTACAAACTTTCACTCCTTATTGTTCCTCTTTCAGGCGAATTCAGGCGAGTTACACAAAAGGGTGTATCGAAGTACTGTAAGCTCTAATGCAGCAGTTATTTCAGCTGCAGCTAGAATAAAAGTGTCTTCGGGTGTAAAGGGTTAAGTAAGCTGAAGTTAGCTGATGCATTTGAATTGGGCGCTAATTGCTCAATTAAGTGCCTACACGATCATTCGCTTGAAACTGACAAGTGGGTAGTTGCTCGGTTTCGGTACAGCTAGCTGTTTGACCCAAAAATTTACGATTAATTGGACGCTTGAGTTATTTTATAGGCTACATTTCTTGCTTACGCTTTTTCGTCTAGGCTATTGTCAAAGCTAAACAGAACGGCATAAAGATTAGTTTCAACGGCGACGCTATATCGATGAAACAGTTTCTTTCTCTCACTAGCATATAATTTCTTTAAAACAGTTGTGAATATCGTAAGGAAGTAAACTTACGATTAGTATTAAGTGGAAACTGTTGCTGCAGTATTGACAGAATAAAGGTCACGAATTTTACATAAATTCTTCTTTCTATTAAGTTTAATATTGCTGGTATCATTATTTGGCGACGCGATAAAAAAGATTCAAAACTAAATTATACTGTGAACGTTGGCATTTTGAAAATGTACACAGGTGAAACCGGTACGCTAAAGTGACAGAGAAAAAAGTATGAAAAATAAATATTTTTTTAACAGACATTTTTCCACTTCGCATAGAAGTAGTCTATAAACCTTAAGGCTATACAAATCTCACAGAAAAGAAAAGAGTAGTTAAATAGAACATAAATCACACAAATAAGTAAAACTGAGTGACTCGTAAAGAAAAAAAGACAGATAATATTTGTTGTAGTCACTTTGTGTTATATTTAAAATAGTTGGGGCATATCTGATTCGTACGACATCTATATGAAATGTTTTGTTCATGTACAAAGTAGCAGATTATGGCAGTACGTTTTGACTCCATTTGGTTATAAGATACAGCCCTAAATCTAACGGCACAGGAGTGCTAAGGCTTCAAGAAAACGTCCATAGCTCCCGAATTATGGATTTCTAAGATGTCGCTTGGATCCAGTTTTGTAGACGACATTCTGAACTATATACATATGACAAAGTTTTGTTTTTAATTCCAACATTTAATTTGACGGTTGCAAAGGCCCTAGGACGTTTCTAGAAAACTCCTAGAAAACCTTAAGTTATTGAGATATAACTTTGATAACCTCATACATTTGAACTACATTGTTAGCAAGTTCGAAGCAAAAAGAAAAAAGTTTTAACTTTCCAGGTCTTACTACAAGAGAAGATCTCCGGAAAACCTTGGTCTTTCAGCGAACAAACTCTCAGAATCTCTAAAAATAAATTATTTTAATCAAAATAAGTTTTAACGTTGTTTGTAATATATATACCATTTGAAACGAATAAGACGTAGAATGATTAATATGAATAGCACAACAAACAAGACGACGATCATAATTCTTATTTTTTTATTTAAAAAACGGCAGCAAGGTATCTAACTACTATTTATACAAAGTTTTAATCCGTTCCGACTGGATAGCTCTGTGCTTTTTGACGGCAACAACAAGAGAAATGTCTTTTTCTTATCGGTGTTTGACGACACACCTGATATCCAAATATATATCGAAGTCATATGTGTGGCAATGCGGCATAAGATTTCTTCAAAAGCAAGTTTTTAGACGAGAAAACTTCATTAGGTGCGTTCCTTAATAGAACTGCAAATAATTTTAAGAGTTAGAGAAACTAGAGGTTTTATCAATCATTATTTTTATCGTGCAGTGTATTCTTGCGTAGGCCTTTTTGTACTAAAATTAGGCTATTAAGTGCACTAAAATTTCGATTTACTCAAAAAAACTAGATTTTTAAAATTTCAAAAACTTTACAGTTTCACATGTGCTCAATGATGATGACGCACCTAATGAAGTTTTTTCTTCTAAAAACTTGCTTTTGAAGAAATCTTATGCCGCATTGCCACACATATGACTTCTATATATATTGTGTGTCGTCAAACACAGGTAATATAACACTAATAAGAAAAAGACATTGCTCTCGTTGTTGTCGTCAAACACAGGTAATGTAACACTGATAAGAAAAAGACATATTTCTCTCGTTGTTGCCGTCAAAAAGCACAGAGCTATCCAGTCGGAACGGATCAAAACTTTGTATAAATTATAGTTAGATACCTTGCTGCCGTTTTCTAAATAAAAAAATAAGAATTATGATCGTTGTCTTGCTTGTTGTGCTATTCATATTAATCATTCTACGTTTTATTCGTTTCAAATGGTATATACATGGCAAACAAGGTTTAGAAAATTGTGATAGTGAAGAAATCTACAGACATTTATGTTGTGTAGAATTTCCATTTGAATGTTTTTATGGCATTAATGTAGCATTTTATCGTACATTTACATCGCCAAGAATAGCATCACTCTACTGTAGTACAGGTACACTAATCAATGACACGGAAAAGCGTGTAAATGATACAGATATTTTGATCCATGTGTGGATCGACTATGGTCTTGATAGTGAGGAAGGTAAAGCAAGTTTTAAACAATTAAATCGTATTCATGATGTATTTTCTAAACGAACAAGAAACTTTTATTTTTATATTATGCTGCCTTATTGTTGACACTATTCGAATAGTTGACGTATTTGGATGAAGACAATTAACCGAAAAAGAAAAACAAGCGATTTTTGTTTTCTATAAACAAGTAGGTGAAAGAATGATGCTCAACGATTGTCCAACATCATTAAAAAACGCCTACGATATCGTTAACGACTATACAGAAAGTGAAATTGATTCTAAAGATACCCCATCAGGACGCGTATTAACAAATGCTATCACACATCTTGTCGAAAAATGGTACTCACGAATATTACCATCTCGAATCACGAATACGTTTATTAATGCTCTACTGTATATTGTTGGTGGTGAAACGTTTCATCGAAAACTTGGTCTAACAAAACCATCATCAATATCACTATATACAGTGTATGCATTAGCAACGATACGAAAATTTTTCATGCAATTTATGCCACCGCGAATAGCAAAACATCGGTTATCGGATAATTTAATGAAAACATATTATTCATGTCCAGCAACAAGGTCAACATTTACAAATGTTGGACCACCAAAAGTTATAGCAACGATGACCAATGATAGCAAAGCAGAATAAACACTTGAAAACGACTTATATTCATACGGATAAAAATAGTGCATTTTATAAGAAAATAAGAAACATATTATCCGATGTCATAGAAGACATAGAACAGCAATGTCATGAATACACTACTGTATGGTATCATCAATAAAATGCATAAATAGAAAAAGATCGACAGTTTGAAGATCTAAAATAACAAACACATAAAACAAATTCATGTAAAATATGTTACCAGTCAGATCGTCCCTGAGTATAAGATCAATACTATCCTTCAATATCTGCAACTCCCTGCCCCATTTCCTTACAGATATTTTTCTCTCATGGTGCAGCATCTAAAATATTTTTTTTACATATAAAAAATTGAAAATATCCCATTTTGTAGATAATTTGACGGTGCATCTTTTGAATAGAGACCTATGTCTCAACGGTGGCAAAATCAAAAATTATAGTCAAAATATGGAGAGGCTAATTTATTATGAGACACCCGGTAGTGTGAACGTATTCTTATGCTCTAATAGTCTCTAATTCTTGCTTGTTGAGGGATTAACAAATAAAAAATCAGTTGTATGATTCCAGCAATCATTTTGTTAAAGTTTCGGTTTTCATAGTTAAGAGAAATATTTATAACCTTTGAAGAAGAGCCAACAAAACAGTAAAGAAAAGACAAATGAATACTGTATATTGTTCACACATTTGTACAGCAGCTGATGCTTATAACGTCAATAGAAAAAGCTTTATGTTATAAGAATCGAACAGTTTCGGATCACCTCAGACAGTAAGGGGAGACCTCCTATATCCTGATTGGGATATATATCCCGATCGGGATATAAAACACAAAATTTCGTCGTAAAAACGATTAGGGGAAAAATGACATCACCATTAGAAAGAGCTCGAAAAACTACATCGGATTCTGTTGTGTTTGATCAGAATTGCATCAAGCGCCAAGGAACTAGTTTTTCGAACACAAATCTTTACATTTTTTAGTCGACTTTATATCGGGAAATAGACGGTTAACCTGTTATTGCTCAGAATGCTTTGTGTTTAATGGGGAATTTTCCAACTATTGATTCGTGCAGATAAACTGCCTTATATTTTTGCAAGTGAAATACAACTTCTCAGCTCCGCTAAGGATCACAGAATAAATGAACAGTTTTGAGCTGAAGAGAAAATGAGCACATTTTTACAAAAACTACATTTTAACTTTCGACAAACAAATAAACATTATTAAGAGACTCGCCAGTCTCTAAAAAAGGAAGATCAAGATGGAACCTTTCCTTTGTTTCGGATCCAATTCTTGAACTCTTTTCTTTGTTTAAGTGTTCAAGAATTGGGCTCACATGCAGGAAAGATTCCATCTCGGTCCTTCTTTTTAGAGAGCATACTCGTAGTGAAATAAATACTTTATTTTCGTATAATTATACGAGGATAAAGTATCTATTTCACTACGAGTTTTCATATCCCCTAGAATGAGCTGATATGTGCGATAAGAGCATATCTGTCATCTATGTTCCATCGAGCGTGTAAACTCTCAAAAGTCTCTAGAGGTGAATGATGTGGTTCTTAAAAAAGGTTTCGTACCACGCTTAAACTAAAGGTATCATTCAGCTTCCGTCTCGAAAAGATAAAAATAATGAGGATTAAGGGGGGGGGGGGGGGGGGGGGGGGGGGGGGGGGGGGGGGGGGGGGGGGGGGGGGGGGGGGGGGGGGGGGGGGGGGGGGGGGGGGGGGGGGGGGGGGGG